CGATTTCGCCTCTAGTAGAATTTGTTGTTTTTCACCCACCACCGTTCAAAAATGACCACAATGGAATGCTGAACACAGCAGAACGCGGTCCCTCACTGACTGCATCAGAGGGTTTGATATTCATGGACAAAGTCGGGGTCGAAGGACTAGGCCACACATGAAGAGTCGCGAGGAGCGAAGGATTGCGGTGTGACGCCATCAATACCGATGGCAAACGCGTTCTTTCAAAACTTGCACAGAAGGAAAGAAGAAAAAAAGCACGATTTTTTGCCTCTAGCATACGTTTAGAATACCCGTTATTCACATACGCTGTTTCAACCATACAACTAAATCATCGATCTGCTCTGGAACCTTGTACCAATGCCCTTCGTCGTATTCCCGCCATTGGACATCACAACCGAGGTGTTGTAGCACATCCCTTGCCTGCTCCCCCAGCTTCACCACAACCTTTTCGTCGTGCTTTCCGTGTCCAAGGAAGATCGGTGTGCGCACAAATGCAGGCGGTTTATTCATAGCGAGATTATGCGGTGGTAGCGAGGTAATGTCGCGAGCGGTATTGGCAGCGTCAAGTTGAAGCCGGAGCATGTTGGCGCCAGCATCAACATCGTCCGCGAGTGCTGTACTGAAGATATGATCATCATCACCATCCCCCACGAATGTCTCCGCAAACGGCAGCCATCCGCTCATCCCAACGAATCCTAGGAGGGCCCCATTGTCGGGTTGGAAATTTAACAGCACGTGCAACGACGCCGCGCAGCCCTGGCTCAGCCCCCCGATGATGACGCGCTCAACGCCGACGAGCTGCGCCTCCTGGTTAATGAGGCCATGCACGAAAGTACTCGTCTCTCGAAGACCGTCGTACTGGAGGTGCTGCCTCTCCAACGGCTCCTCGAGCGAGTGATTGTCGAACCACTGGTTGATCGGCGTGCGGTTGAATATGGCTGCACGACGTTTCTTAGCTGTAGGAAAGATGAATTTAAAACCTGGAAAATGCGCTGCGAGAGTTTGTCCACTGTCGGAGGTCTCTGCTTTCAGGAGCTCCAGACCAAAGCGCTCGGCGTTGCTGCCACGACCATGGAGCAGGATTATGCTGTGGGTGTGGATTCCTGTAGGCGACACGACGAGAGGCTCGGGCCAGATTAATTGCTTTGCTTTATTTTTGCTCAGTGGAGCTACACTGAGAGTGCCGTCCGCCATCGTGAAAGAGTAACATGGGCTGGAGTTGGGCTGGAGATTTCGGAGAGTCAAAGGGCGAGTTAATGCATCCCTATTTGCTTTAGACGGCATAGCCTTCTGCTTGCATCAGATCCCATCGTCTTTTCTTCCAAACAACGCCGTTGACGTGTAGAATTCCGTCTTTCTTCTCCGCCTCTCTGTTTTCTGGGCAAGAGGCCTAATATGCAGCCGTGGACCCTTCTTGGGGTTCTCTCACTCCTAATCGCCGTTCCCGACGCGCTCGCAGTCAAATCACACGACTTCAAGACATGCTCGCAGGCGGGTTTCTGTCGCAGAGGACGCGCGCTCTCCGCTCGCGCTGCTGAAGCCAAATCCTCCTGGAGATCCCCCTACTCGGTCGATGTTTCCTCTATCGCCATCACCCCGAATAAAGCCGTCTTCACGGCGGGTGTCAAGTCTTCCCTCTACCCTGAAATCAAGTTTGGGCTCGAGTTACGTGTCCACGACGACGGGGTCGTGCGAGTGCGCATGGATGAGGTCAATGGACTGCGGAAGCGCTACGATGAAGCTGCGTCGTGGGCGTTGATATCCGAACCCACAATTAGGCAGGATATCACTTGGACAGCGGGAAAGAAGGACATTAGAGCAAAATACGGAAATAACGAGGTGGTGGTCGCGTTTTCACCTTTGAAGATCTCTCTCCTCCAAGGCGGGAAGGAACAAGTTGTATTGAACGGGAAAGGACTTTTGCACATGGAGCATTTCAGGGTCAAGGCGGTCGAAGAGACAAAGACAGAGGAGGCCGCCCCGGCACCCGAGGAGGATGCCGAACAGGCCGTTATGAAGGCCGAAAAGCCAAACCCTCGAGCTTGGTTCGAGGGAGACAAAGAGGATGATTGGTGGGAGGAGAGGTTCTCGAGCTGGACCGATACAAAACCGAAAGGTGATTATTTATCTACTGATCTTCTCCTTCGGAAACTCATGTTTCCCAGGTCCTGAGTCGCTCTCCATCGATATCTCCTTCCCGAACCATGGAACTGTCTATGGGATTCCTCAGCACGCGACCAGCCTCGCGCTGCCTACCACTGCAGGAGAATCGCCTGCCTTCACCGACCCCTACCGTCTGTACAATGCCGACGTCTTCGAGTATCTCGCATCTTCGACGATGTCGCTGTACGGCTCTATCCCTGTTCTCCACGCCCACTCTGCCGATTCCACCGTCGGTATCTTCCACGCCGTGGGCTCCGAAACCTGGATCGACATCTCGCACCCCTCGGATAAATCGACTCAGACCCACTGGATCTCTGAGTCGGGTATTCTCGACTTGTTCCTCATGCCCGGCCCCACCCCCGCCGATATATTCGCTCAGTACTCGGGTCTGACGGGTACGCCCGTCCTCCCCCCTCACTGGAGTCTCGGATACCACCAGTGTCGGTGGAACTACATCAGCAGCGACGACGTCCGTACCGTGCAGAAGCGCTTCGACGAGGAGGACATGCCCGTTGATGTGTTCTGGCTCGATATCGAATACGCCGACGAGCACAAGTACTTCATGTGGGACGAGAAGAACTTCCCGGACCCAGTTGATATGACCAACGACGTCGCGGCTCTTGGACGCAAGGTAAGAGCTTTGTCGTTTGCTCTTTATACCTTTCTCGTTAACTTTGCGTGGTAGATGGTCGTGATCGTCGATCCCCACTTGAAGCGCACCTCGAACTACCCTGCCTTCCAGGAGGCGTCGGACAGGAAGGTGCTTGTCAAGCCACCGAGCGGCGAGGGAGAGTACGAAGGCTGGTGCTGGTCTGGAAGCAGCTCTTGGATCGACTTCTTCAATCCGAATAGCTGGGACTGGTGGAAGTCGCTTTTCAAGACCACGCCTCTGAAGAGTGGCTGGAGCTGGACATCTAGCACCACGGACATCCACATCTGGAACGATATGAACGAGGTAGATTTTCCTTTCGAGTTATGTTTGCATTGCGCTGACGTCGCTCACAGCCGTCGGTTTTCAACGGACCCGAGATCTCGATGCCGAGGGACAATGTCCACTATAACGGCTGGGAACATCGCGACGTTCACAACATCAACGGAATGCTCTTTGTATGTCCTCTTTTTCGTGATCCCTTTGTGCTTGCGAGTTAATTTGATTTTCACCAGTCAAACCTGACTTCTCAAGCTGTTCAACAACGCACAGACCCACCACAACGCCCCTTCGTCCTGACGCGCTCATTCTTTGCCGGCTCTCAGCGGTTTGGAGCGATGTGGACGGGAGACAATCTTGGTACCTGGGAGCACATGGCCGTTGGCATCCAGATGGTCTTGGCCAACGGAATCGCCGGGATGAGTTTCGCGGGATGTATGTTTTCATTCCGTCTCCTTTGCTCTGTCAGCGACTTAGTGGTCTTTCAGCTGACGTTGGAGGATTCTTCGGGAACCCGGAGCCAGAGATGCTCGTTCGGTGGTATCAAGTCGGGATCTTCAATCCGTTCCTGCGTGCCCACGCCCATATCGACACGAAGCGTCGCGAGCCGTTCCTCCTCGAGCAGCCGTACAAGGGAATGGTCAAGGATATCCTGCGTCTCAGGTACACTATGCTCCCCGTCTGGTACACTGCGTTCCGGGAGACGAGTGTGACTGGTGTTCCTGTTCTGCGGTAAGATCCTTCGCCGTTTCAGTCGTGCGTGTCCTGATTTGAGAACAGTCCGCATTACGTGATGTTCCCCAAAGACCCGAAGGGCTTCACCATTGATGATCAGTACTTCATCGGTGCCTCTGGCATACTCGTCAAGCCTATCACGACGAAAGGCGCGACTGAAACGACTGTCTACCTTCCCGAGGACGAGGTTCGTCTTGCCGCCTTCGCGGAGTTAGACCATGGCTCACGTATTTGATTCAGGTTTATTACGACTACTTCTCGCACCATGCGTACCGCGGCGCTGCGAAAGGAAAGGACATAACCGTCAAGGCTGAGCTGCACCAGGTCCCTGTGTTTGTGCGCGGCGGGTCCATCGTGCCCACTCGCGAACGCCCGCGGCGCTCGTCGCCCCTGATGAAGCTGGATCCGTTCACGCTGCGCGTCGCGCTTAGCAAGGCCGGCGGCGCACGGGGCGAGCTGTATCTGGACGACGGCGTCGACTATTCCCACGAGCAGGGCCACTTCGTCTGGCGCGAGTTCACTGCTGAGACGGCGAAGAAGACCGTGCGGCTGACGACGAAGGATCTGGGGGCGGCGAAGCCGAGTGAGGCGGTAGACGGTGTTGCGCTGAAGAGTTATAATGCGGGCAACGCGTTTGCGAAGAAGATTGAGGGCGTGCGGGTAGAGAAGATTGTTGTTGAGGGGTTAAGCGGCAAGCCGTCGAGTGTGAAGGTGGAGGGTGGGAAGGAGCTGGTGTGGGAGTACACGCCGGGCGTCGCGGCTAATGGGAAAGGGGAGGGCGTTGCGAGCGTGCTCACGGTCAAGGACCCCAAGGTTCTTGTAGTAAAAGATTGGGCCATTGTTATTCAGCTGTGAGCTTTGCAATTTTATATTTATCTCTTCGCTATCGTTGTTGTGATGTTCTGGATTCAGACGAAGGTTATTGAATGTACGCCTCTGTGGAGGACGAATCACGCTAACCCTTCCTTCATCTAAACCATCTGTTGTGGACATCCCGATTCTGCCTTTATTACCGTCGGTTGTCGGACTCCCGATATCAATTCTGGGGCCACTGCTCAGAACGCCAATGCGAACTAAGCTCGTAGCTGGATGGATGTGAGCAACACGCGAAAATATTGCGAACAAATTTTGAGAAATGCGAGGCCATCAGACAAAAAGGTGCTAGCACATCGGCTCTATGGTGTAATGGATACACACATTTCGCGTTATGGCGGTGCATAGGCGAAGGAGTAGTGCCTCAATGAACGGGGGCGCCGGAGCCTCCGGTTCGATTCCGGACGGGGCCATGGGTTTCTTGTGTTTTCGTCGTCTGGCTTTGCGAGCCAAGGATTTATTCTTCCCATCCGTCTGGAAGCCCTAGTAAATTGGGTGCGAACTTGACCATTTCCCAATCTGGCTCATTCCAGATGGGCATATTGTAACTTAAGGGTTCGGCTCTGAGAGCTGCCGAGAGCGCAGCCTTGCGGCGCGGTTGCACAGTAGTCTGCGGCAACGGCACAGTGCTGCCGCAGGTGTTCCGTAGTTATTCTCAGTTTCCGTAGTAGTAGGCATTCTCATCAACGACGGAGCTTTACCGACTCAAGTTCTCAGTCAAAATAAAACTCCCTTCGACTTGGATCATCGACTTCTTATCCAAGAACATCGTAGACTCACGCATATCGCTTCCTCAGCATCTCATTGAAAGTGATTGACTTACGTGCCATTGGTACTTGGCATCCACCAGCATCTCGATTGAAGCGTGAAACGGCGCGACCTGCCAACCATATCATGAACTGTTTTCAAACGCCCTCAACTGTAGTCCTGCCGGAGGACTTGGAACGCGAGATTTTCGAAATCGCCGCTTGCTCTCGCCCTCGTGCGATTCCGAAGCTTATGCTTGTAGCACGGCGCGTTAAACTCTGGTATATATGCTGCGTCTCAACATCTTCCGTGTGCTCAATTTCCGCTCAAGGGTCGAGCCATTGCTGTACCGCACCATCACACTATCCCGGGCCAACGACACCAGCGCAGAATACCCCGCCCACTCCCAAGACACCCTCTTTTCCATCCTGGGCTCAGAATCTCGCCCCGCTCTCCGCTCCGCTGTGCGCAACTTCCTTTTCGTGTGGTTACCGCCCGCCGATGGCACATTCGTCCTCTCGCGCTGCCCCGGCATCGAAAACCTCTACATGAGCAGCTCACAGGTCTCTGAACTGCTTCCTTCGGTCGCGGATCTGCTAAATCTGAAGCGCCTCCACTGCAACATGTCGGTGCTCTTCTCCTCTGCGCCCGGGGGGCAGATTGACTTTACGCATCGGCTTTTTGAGCGGATAACGCACCTCGAGCTGCTCGATTACTACGAGCCTGCCGACCTCGCGCGGGACTCGGAAAGGTGGTGTACCATCGCGCGTCTCCCGGCGCTCACCCACCTCGCGTTCTACACTGCTAACTTTGTCACTATCGCCCTACCTCTACTACAGACATGCCCCTCCCTCCTCATTCTTGTGCTCAAGCTTGGGCCTGGGGAATACGCGGAAACAATTGTTGACGTCCGCCCCGATGCGCAGGAGCTGGCAAAGGACCCGCGCTTTGTCGTGATGGATCGTAGGAAGGGCGGGGCGACGAGCGACTGGGAGAGGGGGGCGTACATGGGGAGGGATTTTTGGACGACGGCGGAGGAGTACATTAGGAAGCGGAGCGCTCGGGAGATCGATGGTGTGTGCCAGTTACTAGTTTATTTATTCTTCATAACTGAATGCTTTTCGCGGCAGTTCTGGAATATCTCGGACTCGGAGTAGTCGAGCTGTGACTTGAGCCAAAAGTCTCGGGACACAGCCATGCAAGCAATGGCAATATTAATAAGGTGATAATATTTGAGGTTTCCGGTCGAACCTAATTACAGTCCTCGTTTACACTTGTCAGTCGACACGGACGGAAAGGCACTGGGTTTTTTGTTTTGTTTTGTCGCTGGTGCGTGACTGTTACGCGTGATGCGACGCGTCATTCGCGTCTTGCCACACCAACGCCGGAACACGCTACTGCCGCATTTACTGCTTTCACTGCTGCTACCCTGGTTCGTTGCATCCTTCCCTGGGAGTACTTCGATCTATAGGGCCTTAACAAGTGAGGAGTGAGGATTCAGGAACGAGCTGGTAGCATCGTCACAGTGACTTTTCTTGGTCTGGTTTTGTACAGATTTACTCGACCATCCGTCTGGTGAAAAATTGTGTTCGAACTTTTCCTCAGCTCATTCCATATGGGCATATCGCTTCCCCAGCATCTCATTGAAAGTGATTGACACCTGCCATTGGTTTTTAGCATCCACCAGCATGCTGCATATCGTATCTCGACTGAAGCTTGAAAGCATGAAATGGCGCGAGCAGCCAGCCATCATTGATCATTTTCAAATACCTTCAACTGTAGCCCTGCCTGAGGATTTGGAACGCGAGATTTTCGAAATCGCCGCTTGCTGTCGTCCTCGCGAAATATCCAAGTTGATGCTTGTAGCACGGCGCGTTAAACTCTGGTATGTCTGTTGCGTCCCAATATCCTCCGTGTGCTGAGTTCCCGCTCAAGGATCGAGCCATTACTGTACCGCACCATCACACTATCCCGGGCCAACGCCACCAACGAGCAATACCCCGCCCACTCCATGAGCAAACTCCTCCCCATCCTGGGGTCAGAATCTCACTCCGCTCTCCGCGCCGCTGTGCGCAACTTCTTGTCCTCCCCTGAAGACGGTGCCTTCGTCCTCTCGCGCTGCTCCGGCATCGAAAACCTCTGGATTGACGGCCCACTAGCACATACCCCCGAACTCCTTCCTCTGGTTGCAGGTCTCCCGGATCTGACGCGATTCCACTGCAACATCACGATGCTCTTCTCCTGGGGGGAAATCGACTTTACGCACCGGCTGTTTGAGCGGATAACGCACCTCGAACTGTTCGATTTCTACATCGAGCCCGAAGAACGAGATAGGTGGGCAGAGTTGGCGCGCCTTCCGGCGCTCACCCACCTCGCGTTCTACCACTCCATCTTTGTCTTTATGGCCCTACGTATACTACAGACATGCCCCTCCCTCCTCATTCTCGTGCTCAAACTCGGGCTTAGGGAGGCTGAATCAGTTGACGTCCGCCCTGATGCGCAGGTGCTGGCGAAGGACCCGCGCTTTGTCGTGATGGACCGTAGGGGTGCCTGGGCCTGGGAGAAGGGGGCGTATACGGGGAGGGATTTTTGGACGAGGGCGGAGGAGTGGGTTGCAAAGCGGAGAGGTGGAGAGGTCGATGGTGCGTGCCGCTTACCGGTTTATTCCTCGCAACTGATTGCTTTTCAACGCGGCAGTTCTTGCATATCGAGTAGGCAAGCAATGGCAATGGAAATAAGGTGATGCTATTTGAGGTTTACGGTCGAACCGAATTATGGCAGCCCTTGTCAGTCACCGCTGTTAGAAAAGAGTACGGGAGCAAAAGTTTAGTTGACGCGTGACTGTCACGCGTGATGCGACGCGTGTGGCGCGTCGTTCGCGTCTTGCCACAAACCTTTCGTTTACTGCACCCCAAACGTTTGAACACGCTGCTGCAGCATTCCCAGATTCCACTACTCATATCTTGCTTCGTTCCATCGGGGTTCTTCGCAAGGACTACTTTGAATACTACTTTCCGAAGCGTTCTTGAGTCTATCGTCACTCACCTCTGCTTTCGCGCTATAAAATTCAAGGCCTGGTGAGTTCACGAACCCTCGTCCCTTCTTATCCTTCCTGAGGGCTAGAAAAAAGAAAGAATCCCATTTGAAGCCTCGGCACGGCTCTTTTACGCATTATCCTATGTGTACCTCACATTCGGACCTGGCTTCCGTTCTGCCTCGTTGTATGGGCGTGAGCTTACACGTCGGGAGCAGGGCCCGCTGGAATGGGGTAAAAATATGGCCGCCACCGGAATCGAAAGTTTGGCTGCGCGCCGACATCCGAGTAGTGACTGTGACGTGACTTGTCTCTCTTGTTGTGGCCACCACCCGCTCTCGCAGGTGTTGGCGAGCCGCACCTCCCAGTTCAACTTGCTCCCGCTCCTTGTACCATACATTTATTTCACGACCGTACCACAAATCTCCGCAAGGACTGGACTGTTAGGTGTGGAGGCATCTGTGTGTGCAATTTCTCCTTGTCCTTCTGACTCACTTTGTTCTGACTCTTCCTTTGTTCTCTTTCTCCCAGACACAGTCGGGTTGAGAGTTCCCAGTCTATGCCGCTGCCCCCTCCTGCCCCTCTCGACGAAGGGTGGCAGGTCGTTTCGCCCGAGTGGTGGCGCATCCCGTTCGGTGCAGTGTCGTGGGCGTACACACCCACAGATCCTCCGCAGGATGTCGCGGCGACTAAAGTAACTCAGTCTCCTAGAGTTGCGAAGCCCCCGCACTATCATGCAGCCCTCTTCCGCATCCGGGCTGCTTCTGCCGATGATCAGCAGCACGACGACGATCTTGTCGACGGTGATGACGGTCAACTCAATCCCGATCTTGTGGGATTCAAGGGCGCTGTGGCCGCCATTGAGTCCTACGAGATCGATGTCGGGTTTCACTGGCCTTCACTGGAGATTGAGGAGAAGAGGCGGCCGGATCTTGCCTTGGCCGTCAACGAAGACCACGTTGCATTGGCCAAGGAGCGTTGGGACGAGCTCGTCCAGGATCTTACTGGTGGCTTGCTCATTGGCAGTCCAGACCGTTACCACGAGTCTGACGATGAGCTGCGCGGCCTCCACCGCAGCACGTCGACGCACTCCAGCATCGATCTCACCGACTCGGAGCGTTCCGTTCTTTCCGTGTCCATGCCCGCCACTCCCCGCTCGTATGCCAATATCGTGGTGAAAACCACGTCTCCGAGCAGAAGCGCGAGTAGTCGGGATTCTAATCGGTCCCCCCGGCGGCTCAACGCTGCAGCGTCCACCTTCGTTCCCGGCCCCTCAAAGGCAAAGGCGGTGTCGGATCCCGCGCCGTTCCTCGTAGCGCCCGAGTTCCCGTCGCTCAACGTGGCTCGCCCGCATTCACCGTCGTTCAACACGAATTTCGTCTTTCCTTCGCTCGACGTTCCTCCTTTACCCGCGGTGAAGATCGCCAAGGATGCGCAGGGGTTCTACAGCGAGGTCGAGTCGACTGCGCCAGCGCCAGCGTCTGGACATGCTCGCACGTCTTCGACTCTTCTCCCCGCCTTCCTGCACGACGCTTTCACTCGGCGGCGGCCGCCCGCGTCTAAGACTCGTGCGATCGTCGACCGGCTCAAGTCATCGGGCTCGGTCACCTCCGAAGAGCCCACGAAGACTCA